CGATTTCCTCGTAGTTATTAAAAATTTCTACCGAGGAATCAGGTGGTCTATACCAACAACTTACCAAGAAGGATTTTGATTTAGGTTTAGAGATTTGAACTGTAATTATTTCAAGATCGCAAGACATTAGCTCTTCTTTTACTTTATAATTAATAGAATTTCTCAAGTAAATAGCAACTCCCCCACCATTTCGGTTTCTATCTTTCCTTACGATTTCATAACCATTTATTCCAACTTCGTGATTAAGAACCGTAGCATCAAGTCGAGTTTCATTAATACATATAACATCAAATTGTTGATTTTGGAGATAAAGTCGAAATTGGTCTATGTTTTTTACTAGACTTCTAATATTCAAATGGGCAATTGTGAATCCTTTTAGTTTTAGTGGTTTTAAATTAGTAGCATTCAAATTTGATACACAATTGTCAGAATCTATATTTCCATTCCAGATCATATCCCTCCTTCAATTTTGCTCATTCAAAAAACTTATAATATTCTTAGCTAACATTGGTGTTCCTGCTCTATTGAGATGGATACCATATGGATTAATATGTTTTGCTTGGATATTTGCATGGGTTATATGACCCCATTTGTTCTTCTTACAATTAGTTAAAAGAACAGCATTTACCTCAGCCACTTTTCTTCTGTTTTCTGGTGTGTCCGTCCTTGTGATCAGCTCAGATATGACCACTTTGGTGTTGGGACTTTGGTTCTGGATAATATTACCAATTTCAACGACTCCTTTCACAATTTCTTTCGCATTTTTCTGTGCCATATCGTTAGTGCCGACGTGTAGAATCACTGTATCAGGATTTTTAGCGAGACAGGGTCTGATATGATGTTTCATGGCATCACAGTTCGCACCACTGTAAGATTCCGTAGAGATTTTCAGAGCTTTCTTAGCTACTGATCTTCGTAGTCGTCCTTTGTCGAGGTGTTTGATCATTGAATCTCCCACAACAATTACAGTTTCATAGTCTGTTGTGGGGTCATCAGATTTACGTTCACCTGACTTTTTCTTTCTCGGATGATTTTCCTTCTTACTTTCCGTTTGGGCTGATTTTGTTGTTTCTTGGTCGCTTGTCGCTTCGTCGTTCAGTATGGAATATCTGTTGGGATTTTCTACCACAAAGCAGTCACGGTCATTACCCTCAGCTCGAGCTCTCGATGCAGCGCCCTCTTTAACTCGTGTCCAGTCGTTTTCTTTAAAAACTATTGAAGGTTGATCATTTGTACTTTCTTCTTCTGAATGAAAAAGCTAGTATCGCCCATCTCTAGTTTGTTATGAGCCTGCGATGATTATGATATAAATAATTAAATAGAACGTCATATAAGCGCGAATGAGTCGGAGTGTCTCAATTAGCCCCACTGTCTCATTTTGCTACGCATTACCATAATCAAGTGATATCCCTAGAAAATTTAGACAATCATTTGAAGGAACTTTATAGCCATCAATAACATTGTTCTCCATTAGATTGTTCTTGTTTCCTAATGTCATTGTCCTGTATTTACTCAAATTTCCTTTCAAGAATTTGATTTGTACCACTTATAGTCGCTGATTCTGCACACTCGTTTATCTTCTTTCGAACTTCTAACACATTTTCTCCTGACGTATAAAACTAGTGATCATCAGCGTACATATTAAGACTTAGATTAACTTCGTATGTTAGATCATTTTGCAATATATTCCATATTAGAGGTCCAAATGCAGATCCCTGCGGGCAACCTCTTAGCACTTTGCCATCGACTATCGGCATCGAATTTTACCCAGTTGTACCTCTCATTGAAATAAGATTCAATTAGTCTTACTTTTTATCATTGTTATTATTCTAAATAATACAGTAACCAAACGACTTGTTAATAATAAAATAGATATACTGTAAAACTTGCTTTCCATTACGTCCTGTGTATAGTGTTTCAATTATTGAACTAAGATATATTTATACGAGCAACAATGAACTAAACTATATAGGTCGTGGGCCGTTGTGCGAAAAGCAATTTCGTGGCAACCCATGGCGAATAGATTTTCTGTGATTCATTTCATAGTACATAGATGCTCAATTACCAGGCCACAAAAAGTCCCCGCCGAGGCAAAAAAACTTGCCGAACACCGAGGAAATGGGTGGTCAGTGATTATGTTCAATTAAATTAATTGTATTACAGCAAAAAATGTAAAATTTTGTATTCAATTACAACAAAAATGATTTGTATCATCAGAAAGCTTACAAAAGTTTACATATATAAGGCGCTTAAACAGTTCTTTTATATCTCAAATTGTTTTCGAGTTATACGCTGTAAATAACACTTTTTTTGACCTAGTAGCCAGTCCTTATTGCGACAGTTTCATCCAATTTTCACATTTAAAACAGCAATAACTCAAAGACTATTTAAAGGATCAAAACACTATTTAAAAATCTTATATGCGGTTTTTTGTAAGCTTTCTTATGATCAAATTTCTTGCTGTAACACAATTTAATAGAGGATAATCACTGATCACCCATTTTTACGATGTCTGGCAAGTTTTTTGCTTGGGAACTTTTTGTGGTAATCGAGCATCTATGGTACTATGCATTGAACCGCAGAAAATCTATTCCCCCAGGAAGTGGCCAGAGGAGGTTGGACAGCTAATTAGGCGAATCTGGCCGAATCTCTCAACCAATCAGATTGCGCCATTTCCCTCATGCTCGCATGAAGCTTTTGGCATCGAAAATTTACATAGGGCTCATAAATATCGACTTTTTTCATATTATTATGCACATATTTTTTGAAATTTCACGCGATACTACTTTTACAACAGTGAATCTACCCATTGGAACGGTATCTTGAAAGGTAAGCGTTATTTTCCAGTTTATTTTGACCTCTTACTTTAGGCGCTATGACGTCGCGATGTAATTTAATGGCGTTTCTGTCAACAATCTTTGAAGACAAAAATCTCAAATTCCCACGGTTCGATTTCGCTATTTTTTTCACGATTAGTTAAACAAAAGTATAATCTTTAATTCTATCCAGCCGGCCCCCCTCGGTCCCGCAACCTTTTTCGAGATATTCACCGTTGAATATAGCCCTCTGTAAAATATGTTGCCTTGTCACTCAAATCGATAATGAACTGCTATTACTCGTTTTTTTCTAAAGAAGTGTGATATATTATAGAAGTTTCGATATATTATGGATTGTATATATTGTAGTTAAAGTGTGTAAATAATTAAAGCCCGTCCGTAACAATATTTTATAAGTGAAATTTATTGTTTGGCTGATGTTTTAGATTTGAGATTCGTGATTTTGGCTGGATTCTATTTTTGTCAATGATTTTGTCTGCAAGAATTAAGCATCATCATTAAATTTGGAGATAAAATCAGTCCTTCCAATCTGTACAGACCTTCTACATCTGCAAGATCTCCGATGCTATGATTGTCTCTCCATCGAGTGACCAAAACCTTGTTCACCTTTCTGGTTAATATGTTATTGGTATGATGACTTCTGGATTTTCAAAACTAACCCAGCAACAACCAGAACAACTACTCATCCACCTGTTTCAAAAATGGCTGGTAAAACCCTGGTTTAGATGCTAAATTTGTCCCTCAAAATTTTCTCCCACTTGTTGCCAAGGCTATGTCTGTACTTCATGCTGGTCAAAAAGACAATCTGATTTATCACTCTGCTCGATGCTTTGGAGAACAACGCCATGGAGGTGTTGGTCTGATGCCATTGGATAGAATGCCCTTTATAGCAGTGAAGGCCCACTTGGCCTTTTTTAACAGTATTTTGTAATGATGTTACACAACTAATTCAGATAAAGTTTGAGAAATGGTGGTTCTTTCAATGTTAAGCCCCAGAGAGGGGGCAGGGGCAGGCATATGTGGAGCATTTGATTTTTTTATCAAATTTTCAATCAAATGCCCCACTGTTGGGCATTAATATTGGTCAAACACCACACCATTTTGCAATAAATTGCAATAAATACTATTATCATTAATAAAAGTAATTTTGGTTCAAATTGCCCTAACTCGGGCCCAAAATGCTAATCAAAATCCCCAGAGTGGGGATGCAATTGATGATCAAATACCCCACATATGCCCACCCCCCTCTGGGGCTTGACATTGATGGGTGCCATTATATGCAGGGTTTTTTTGTGTTCTCATGTAATGTACCACAAAGTATCAGCAGGATGTTATTGTGGGACCTTTGATCAATATGTATATAAATAGACATATTTTTGTTTTATTGTTGCATTAATTTTAATGAAAAATTACTCACAAAGTTGGTCAAGAGAATGTACAAACTATTTATTTCTTCATTTAGTACAGCATATGTTACAATTATGTACTTGTCTTAATTGCATGAGTGTGCATGACAGATATTGTTTTATTTTAATTGTGCACACCCATGCACTTATGATTAACCTAGTTTTTGTTTATGAAAATCTAAAAAGTTACCCAATTGAAATAACATCATTTCTATAACTAGGTTTACCTAGTCAGTTATAATTATATCACAAACATCTGCCACTTGAGTCGCCCACTCACCAGGTCGCTTTATGAAAATTTTCTGATAAAATCCTATTTTAAAAAAATCAACCCTATACTTGATATGCTGAACATAGACCTCTAAGATATCTCCTGTGGCAATTAGTGGGTGCAAATACTTGCATAGTTGAGAAGCAATATAACCAATATATGTCCATCCAGTTCCATACTATAGTCTACATCAATTGCAATTGCACTTGGGTCCATTGGATTCAATGGCTCTGGCCGTATTCTTACATTTACTGGTTTATCTCGTCCATGAAGAGCAAGGTATGCCTCTTCCAAATGATGTTGGTAATTTTTCTCATGAGCAGCACCGATGCACTTGAATGGTACAGCATGGGTGTTGTCACTTTCGTCCCATCACTTAACTGGTCACCACTTTCTGCCCTATCACCTTCATTACCATATCCATGCTGACCAGGTTCAAGATCAGCCAACCACTCAAGTAGATCTCTTAATTCTACAAAATCATAACAAGAAAATTTTTATTTTATTATTTTCTACATACACTGTAATCTCTAAAATTAGCAATCTAATGCAAAAGTGTGTCACTATTTACAGTAATATTTATAGAACAACACACTAAATATGGCAATATTTTACAGATGAAAATTGAAAAATTGTATGCACATATATGTGAAAATCTATCCCACAACTAGATCAGGCAATGGCATCATACTTCAGCAAAAATTTATTAAACAATTTGTTTAACTCAAAGCATGTACATATGTATCACAGTGACACAGTACATAGACACACACGATAGGGTCAAACTAGAGGCATTAAACACAAATATTACGCCATAATTTTGTACAGTGTATCTATAAAATTACAGGGCCTTACAGTACAAGGTTAAAAACAACAAAGCGGATAATAATTTGACTAAATAACAAGGTAACTGTAATGCATTGTAGTCAGGGGCGGATCTAGGGGTAGTCAGATTAGTCACGCGACTAACGTAAAAAAAGGCATATAAAAAAATTTGGACTAAGGTTTTTGAATTTTTTCCCAGCGCAAACACTTCTCTTCATTTCTGATCACGCAATCAAAACTCTATC